TTCTGTTGTGCATGGGGTCACCGTGATTCCAGGGTGGACTTGACAGCAGCTAATAACAGCCTGCTGATCAAGGGTAATGAGATTCATCACAGTGTTTTATGATGCTAATTAGAAACCTTCAGTACCTCCGCGTCTGAGCCCTATAGAACTCCCTGTGAAGTGTTGTTTTACACCCACAAAGCAGTTCCCCCCAGCCCCCTTCATCTGTGGCATAATAAATGGAACAGGAGGAAAGCCTAGGTCCAAAAAAAAAGAACTCTCAAGGAGAGCTTGACTGAGCAGGAATGCTGAGCAAAACTGACACCTACCACCAAATTCTCAGCCCAGGGCCCAGCATGGAGAGCAATAGATGGCTGAGCAACTGACAGATTAATTGAATGTTAGGCAGCTCTCATTAGTTCTTTTAATCTGATCTCTGTAATAAACTAGACATGGTAGATTAATGATGGCCAAGCTTCTCTGCTGCTCTACCCATCAAACAAAGGTGGCTCTCACTGAGTCAGTGCCAACGCAGGGCAACCTGGCGTGTGCCAGAAAGAACTCCGCTCCACAGAACGTTCAGTGGCTGATTTTTCAGACGTAGGTCACCCGTACCTTCTTCTAAGGCACCTCTGGTTGGATTCAAACCTCCAACCTTTTAGTTAACAGCTGAATGTTTTAACCATCTGCATCACCCAGTCACTCCCATCACGAAGGAGAGTCTATTCCCCTTTCTCTTGAGTTGAAGCTGGCCTTGTGACTTGGCTTACAAGAGAATGTGACAAAAGTAAAGCTTCCAAGTTCAGTCTTTAAGAGGACTGACAGCATCCACATCCCTTCTAACAAAGCAGCCAGATGCTCAAAAGGAGCATGGGCCAGACTACGGAGGGCTGTGGGAAAAGGCCATGGGAAATGGGAGGCCATCATCGTTAGCATTACAGTGCTAGCCCAAGTTCTGCTGGAATGTAGCCTCCTGAGTGGTCTTAGATCATGGGGAGCGAGCGAACCAGCAGTCAACCTACAGAACTGTGAGAAATAATAAATTGTTTTCTTAAGTCCTCTATGCCTTGGAATAGCTTGTTACCCAGCAATTGATAACTCAAACACTAGACATTTATTGAATCTAATTTTTTCCCAATCTCCTCTTCCATTTATACACTCAGTGTCTTTCGGGGTAGTCTCTACACCTACAGCATGAACACTGGCCAGAAAGTTGCCAGATACAAATTCTAAGCCCTACCCCAGGTCTACTGACTCAGGTACTTGTTGGCAATCTGCATTATCAAGTGTTTTTGGATAAATCTGATGCACATTCAAGTCTGAGGACCACTTAAATAAGCCAGCCGTCTCTCCCCTGGCTGTATTTCTAACTCACCTGTGGACTTTCAAAAGACAAACTTCCCTCAGCCCTGCAGAATCAGGGAAGGTTTGTGTGGTTATTTGAAGAGTTCTATGAGGATTTGGCTCTGCAGCATGTTCCATGGAGGAATTAATGATAATTCTCACAACTTCTGTGCTTTCGAGACCAGTGATGGTGAAATGATGCGCCTGGGACTTGGTAAAAATGTAGATTCTGAATCAGCAGATTCTGGGGTGATGTCTGAAATAATTTCTAATAAATTTCCAATAAGTTCCCAGATGAGGCTGATGTTGCAAAGTATGTTTGGGGTAGCAAATTCTAGGGAGTTTCCATCTTCTCTGAAGAATAAATGCCTCAAAGCACACATCAACATTACACACACTCGCACCCTTACCTATCGATGCTACAAGCAGGAGTAGCTAGCTATACACAGTGCTATTGAGTTCACATGCACAATGACCCTACTGCCCAGTCTTCAAGGAAGACTCTCTAGAGGAAATGACATTTGATATTTGCTCTGAAAGATGAAAGGGGGTTTTGTTTAGTGGATACAGAGAAGGGCTTCTAAGGTCAAGGGAAGAGCCTTTACTAAGGAAACTCAGGGGAGTCATTCAGTGTATCTGAAGTCGTAACAGGCGTAGGAGAGTGAGGTGGGGATGGGGCTGGGGATGGATAAATTAAGCTGGGAATGGCTTGAGGACAGATTATGGAGGGCCTTGGGCATCAGTCAAGCCCAGATTTTATCCCCTGGTCTATGGGGCGCCACAGAGGTGTTTCAGCATGGGAGTGACTTCTCTATACAATTGGCACCTACATCCCACATTCCCATATAAGGAAAAATGACTGTCCCATAGCCCAATGCTACCATGCCTGCAAGTCTAAGTGCCAAGAAAGAACCATCCTCAGAAGACAACAGCAAAACACCTTGGGGCCCTGAGGTTCAATGCAACAGCCCGACGGTTGGAAACTCAGGTAACCTGTCTTCTTTGGGAGAGGAGCATTCCCTAAGACTGTTCTCTAAGAACCCTCCAAAGGAGGACGAAAGCAAGGTTTCCGCTCCCAAAGAGCACGGCTCTGCTCACATGTTCTGGTCAGTCATTTGCTTCTTACCACGATGCACTGAGAAATGTGTGTGATGGAATGAAAATCTCTGCTGCCCAGCTACCCCGTGGGCAGCCTTGGTTACTATGGAAAATTCCTGATTAAAGTCAGCAAACGCATTTCCTAGGTAGCAACGATTATTAATAGAGGCTTCAGCCTTGCACTGACATTCAAAATTGGGTTTTTTAATATGCCATTGCACAAGCCAGCTAGCTGACGAAGTCCCTGTGTTGTTGTTATTGTTTTAAAGCACAGCAAATGCAGCCACCTTCGCTAGGCTGGCTACCCTTTTTAATAACCCACGCGGTCCTGCTCAGATAGCATGGGAACAAAACTGCAACCATGAAATTATTTTAACAAGACCATAAAAAAATTTGCTTGAGTGATGTTTAGCGAGAAGGGGGAGACC